TTTTCAGATTAATCTGGCTGTGTAATTTGACACCTGAGGTTCCCCCTCGAAATACAAAAAGGGAAGCGTTTGTGTTTTACGCTCTGACGCCACAATACAGACGTTCAGCTTGGAGTTATGATCTGAATCCGACGGTATTTTACGCGCTAACAACCTCTGTCATCTCCAATTTCAGATACATTCTTCAGAAATAACCTTCTTTTGCCCCCTCGAAGGGTATTTTCCCCACTTATGGGGTGGGTAAAATGGATGACTGAAATCTCTAGTGCTTATTCGCTTGCGCATTAGCCACTCCACTCATCGCAGAGGACCATCAAAACATAAGAGAGCCCACCTCCTGTCATTAGGTTCTTTATACGACAAAGTAAATCCCATAAGGGCCCGCATTAGGAAACAATCTCAGGACAGTCGACCCACAGTGCAACTGGCTCAGTATATCTATGCCATTCTCTCACAGTAAAGAGATCCTGAATTGAACGGATGGCACAAATAGCCGTATTGATCATGAGATAATGGAATCTTGTCCTCGCTGTTTTTCTTCAACAATTTCATTTCCTCATCTCTTTCTCCGCCACTCCCTCCCACCTGCGAGGGAAACGGAGGGGGCTCGTATTCAACTCATCACTCGTTCCAGTCCTCCGCTAAGTGTTTAATTACATTAGCATATAAGAAAGTGGGCCAGTGATGTGTTATGATTTAGATAATTTTGGTAATTCGACATCCATGGCCTCTCGCGGAGAATCTTGGCGAAGTACAATTAAGCGCTTGGAAGTATCACCTTTGCACACAGCGACAATTACACCATCTTAATAGGTTTTGGAAAAAAAAAATGAAAAGATCTAAAAACAGGCCTGGTGCCACGATTAAGGGTGAAGTTGTCCAAGTGGAAGGACCTTTATTTCTTGTTTCCTTTCAAAGCTATTTTGAAACTTGTAAAAGCTGCCAGCTACTCACAAGTGAAAGGAGATAAACAGTCAAGCTAATATTTTGAAAAAGTAATTAGCTACACTACTAGAATCCAGCTAACAAAAATGTTAGAACATTAGTTATGAAAATGTCATTTTTTTCTTGGTTAACCCTCTGGGGACCAGAGTGTTTTTGGGGCCCTTGGGATGTTTTGACATACACTGACATTTGTGCTTTTTTCAGTTATTTATAAACATGTTAATGGCAAAGGTGTAAATTCACTCTATATAGCACAAACTTGGCTACCATGATATCTGAGCAACATGTATGTACATGTTTGTATTTTTAATAGAATAATGTTTATGCGTGGTTATTGAAAAAAATAAAAATGAAAGTTGCTGAAATAAGACCACAAAACACATATTGATTATTTCTTCACAAGACTTTTGAAAATTGTATCACATAGCCTAGAATATTTGCTCCAAAACTATGTGAGAATCATCCTGACTACTCATTCAGATAAGTCAATAAAGTCTTTTACATTTTTAATGACGTGTTTTGTTTGAAAAAGCTTTATGCAGGAGGCGTGATCTCTCATTAATATGTGTGGCATTCCACACCTGAGAAAGACAAAGACCCTCCCCATAATGGCCCTATTAGGTGCTATCAGGCCCTATCATTACAGGAGCCTTGCACAAAGAATGAGGAGATTTAAAAAAGAATGGCTTTTAGATTGTTTGGATTTATATTTATACGATTTATACGATATTATCTATCACACACCCTTCACCATATAGACATGGTTTTATTTCAGTTCAAAGTTCAAAGTTAGAGTTGGAAACATCTTGAAAAGAAAATTGTCTTTCTCCATAAATGTCTTAGTTTGATCATACATATTTCAAAGTTGAGGATTCATTATTTTGATATAGCTTGAACAAACACTATAACATCTTAGTTGATTAGTTTATTGACAAAACATACTATATATTTAACATATGAGCAGAAACTCCTAAAAAAAGCTTATTTGATGTCTATTTTAGAGTAAAAACTTTATCCAAAACGAGTCAACGAAATGTTGTCTGTTATTTAGTCTGTAACAGTGCGTATCTGTGCGTTCATTCATTCATTCATTCACACACACACACAAACATGATTCACATTTTTAAACAGTATGCTATTTTTCCGTTTACAGACACTACGTTATTCTATATCGCGATTAGAACAAAGCACTTGCAAAAAACACTTACTTCTCAGCTGAATCTGTTCATCCTCGAAGTGAAAATAAACCCAGTGGTAAATATCCCAGGATTGTTCCTCATATAGCCGCGCAAGACGACAGTAGATTAATCTGACTAAAAAATAATGTGTGTTTTCAGAGTTTATGGGCGTTAACACGTCTCAATGTGTTGCTTCACATATTTGCGTTTGAATAGCGCGTGCTCTCCGTGGGCGTGTCACATTACCAGAGATAATCAGCTGAGAGAACGATAATGAGACGGGCTGACACGTCTCTCTTTTTATATAGATGACATAAACGGAGAATATTAATTTTAGTTTTGAATCGGATCATTTAAAAGTACAAACTCAAATGATT